ATCATCGTCTTCAGGAAGGGTGATAATGTCATGGGGTGGAGCTTCAGAAAAAGAGTCAAAGTTAGAAATCATGAGTCAGTCGACCAAGGACAGAATTGAGAGTATAGTACCAGGGTTTGAGGTTGCTGCGTCCTCCATCTCACGGTCGTCAGCCTTGCCTGAGGTCTCAGAAGTTGCAGCACTGAAGTCCCAAAGGATCAGTCGACCAACTCAAGTATCAACCAGAGATAAAGCTTATACAAAACAAGAGAACTCAAGTAGCGTGTTTACCCGGATATGGTGGGGATGGACACTTTCATCTTCGGCAGGAGCTTGGCGGGTTTCAGCGGAGCCACCTTCGACTGCTTCGGAGCCCTGTCACTCAGCACCGTAGAAGCGGTCCGAGGGCGTTTGGTCGACTGCGAGGCAGTCGCCACCCCCTTACCGCGTTCAGTCGCGGGGTCATGGACAAGCTTCGACCGCCTTTCCGAGCGCGGCGGTGCAACCTCCTCCTCCTCCTCCTCCTCTTCGTCCTCGTCATCGTCGTCGTCATCGTCATCTTCGGCAGCGTCTGAATCCCACTCCTCCTGGCTCTCGCCCCCGCTGGCTTCTTCCTCCTCAGTCGGAGCCTGAGCTCCATTGGGCATCGAATACAGGTCGGTGAGGGCCTAGAAGACGTCAAGACAGAGATCAGTCGACCAAGTCGCAGAATATACAGAAACACATTCGACGAATATACAATGGAAGGCAGAGCAAATATACCTTGTCTGGAACGGTGTGATGGTCGAGTGGAGGAACCCTCCTGGATCCACGGGGATTATCCTTATTCCCAGTGACCGCGGCCATCCATCTTTCCACCGTGGCGTCGTCGACTTCTTCTGGGTGGACTCGGGTATCGTCTTCAGTCCCGCAGTACAACCACATGCCATGGCTCCGGAACTGAAGAGGCTGGATCCGCCGCCGAAGGAAAACCTCCAGAAGGTCCATGCCAGTCACGCCATCCCGGACCAACTGCACCACTCGGTCCATCAACATCTTCACATCATCCCTCTCCTCCGGAACCACCTTCAGAGAGGAGGGCTTGTTCACTCGACTCATGGTGAATGGGGGGAGTCCACTCGACTGCCCCGGCGTCAGCTCGTCCCGGCAGTAGAACCAAGTCGACTGCCAGCCTCTGACCGACTCGGGGAACGTCATAGCTGGGAAGGTGCTCTTGTTCCTCACTTGAATTCCCAGACCCCCGCACATTTGGACAACCTGGGTCTTCTCATCGCCTGGACTCGCCTTCTTCACGGTCTGAGAACGACACGTGAAGATATGCTTGAACAAGCCCCAGTGCGGTCGACAGCCCAGGAAACTCTCGCACATGGATACGAATGCAGCAAGGTACGCAATGGAGTTCGGAGTAAAGTGGTGGAGTTGGGCTCCAAAGAAGTTCAAAAAACCACGGAAGAAAATGCTCGGTGGCAAAGAAAACCCTCGATCGATATGAGTGGCCAGGAGCACACACTCACCCTCTTCCGGCTGAGGTTGCCACTCTTTCCCTGGAAGTCTTGCGGCGCCATGGGGGATCAGCCCGTCGTCGGCCATGTCGAGGAGATCCTTCTCCCTGATGGTCGACTGGATCCAATCTCCCTGGACCCAGCCCTTCGGCAAGCGGGATCTCGACGAAGACCCACTGCGGCTGGTGGATCTCCCCTTCGCCTTCTCCGCCGCCGACGCCTTCTCCGTCACCGACGCCTTCTTTGCACGCTCCAGCGCCACCGTCTTCTCCTTGAACATGGCTGCCGGCGAGGAGCGCGAGGAAGAGCTTTGCGGGGGCGAGAGCGAGCGCGTGGGGCGGAGACGAGGAGAGCAGAAGAGAAAGAATGGAGCACTGTTCAGAAAACCCTCGCCGGTTGCATTTATAACATCCCTTCCGAGTGGATGACAGGTGGACCCAGGCAACCTAATCATATCCCGAAACAGTTGCATCGACGCGATACGTGGCGGAAAAAGCGGCGCGGAGATCGAGGCGTCTATGTCCCGTCCCGTCCGAGCGCCATTCGTTCCGCTTCGCGCGCTCCCCCAAATTTCGCATCCCGTGGAATCCGCGAACGGCAGATCGGTCTGTCAGACGCAAGATTTCCTGCGATCCGTCGCTCGGGAACCAGCAAAGTCTAAAAGATCACTTGACGAAAGACAAGAATGGATCGAGTCGACTGAAGAAAAGTTGCTCGATTATTGACAAAGAAGATCTTAATCCAGAACGACGCATAGCCAGTATGCAAAAGTCAATCGGAAACAGCATCAACTCCTTCCTCATTCAAGCCTCAATCCATTCGGGGGCTAATGATGGATTCATGTACCTAGGGTAGGGTCATAGGCCTGACCTGAATATCCTACCCAGGGACAGCCTTAGAAGAGATCACCTTCCAGTCGACCAACGAGGAACCCACTCGACTGACCAGAAGGACTCGACCATGGAGATTCACTCGACCATGAAGATACACTCGACCACCAGAAGGTCAGAAGGCACTCTGCACTGCAACGGCCTGTAATTGAATAGACTTAATGATAGTTAAGGCACTTTATGTGGGGCGTTACCAGTAACGCCCCAGACTTAATATACTTTAAACCCTCCATTACATGGGCTGGCAGGGGTCCTGGCGTACTCTATATAAGCCACCCCCCTCCACAGGCAGAGGGGTGGGGACTCTTGTAACACCTATACGCATAATCCACTCGACCGCCTCAGGGCTCCGAGACGTAGGGCTTTTACTTCCTCCGAGAAGGGCCTGAACTCGTACATCGCTTGTGTTTACAACCTCTCCATAGCTAGGACCTTGCCTCTCCATATCTACCCCCCACTCTACTGTCAGACTTAGAACCACGACAGCGCGCCCATCACTGCTCCCGGCAGCACCCCTCCACCACCGTCCACGCCGCCGCGACCACGACGCCGTGCCGCGCCCATCCCAACCCACCCCATGACTACGCGTGCTCAGGCTGGCAAGTTCCTGCCCAACCCCAAGTATGCTGACAGTCTCTCTGCCACAGTTACCGACACCGCCATCTCACCCATACCCCGATCGGTGCGTTCTGCTTTGCAAGATCCTTGTTGGCTATCTGCTATGCAGGTCGAGTACCGGGCGCTGATGGAGAACGCAACCTGGCGGCTCGTACCACGGCCTCCCGGCTTCAACGTCGTCACCGGAAAATGGCTGTTTCGCCACAAGTTCAAGGCAGACGGGTCGCTCGAACGGTACAAAGCACGCTGGGTCCTGCGCGGGTTTTCCCAGCGACCTGGCGTGGACTTCGACGAGACGTTCTCTCCCGTCGTCAAGGCCGCCACAATCCGCGTCGTGCTCACCATCGCCACCACGCGCAACTGGCCAGTCCATCAAATGGACGTCAACAACGCCTTCCTCCACGGGCGTCTCGCCGAGCGCGTCTACTGTCAACAACCTGCGGGCTTCGTCGACAAGCACCACCCCGAGCACGTGTGCCTCCTCGACAAGTCGTTGTACGGCCTCAAACAGGCGCCGTGCGCGTGGTTCGCCCGGTTCCCGGCCTTCGCGCACCAGCTCGGCTTCGTCAGCTCACGCGCGGATCCCTCGCTGTTCGTGCTCCACTGCAGCGCGGGCGACGCCTACCTACTCCTCTACGTCGACGACATTGTCCTCACGGCCTCGTCGACGACTCTCCTCCAACACCTGCAGAGTCAGCTCTCCGGCGAGTTCTCCATGAAGGACCTCGGCCCCCTCCACTACTTCCTCGGGATTGCCGTTACACGCACGGAACATGGCTTCTTCCTCTCCCAACAGAAGTACGCTGAGGACCTGCTCGAGCGCGCCAACATGACGTCCTGCAAGCCGCTGCCCACGCCTGTTGACACGCACGGCAAGCTCTCTGCTGTCGACGGCGCGCCGGTTCCGGACCCGACCGAGTACCGAAGCATCGTGGGTGCCCTCCAGTACATGTGCATGACGCGCCCTGACATGGCTTATGCGGTGCAGCAATGCTGCCTTGTCATGCATGACCCGCGCGCACCGCACCTCGCCCTCGCCAAACGGGTGCTGCGCTACCTACGGGGCACCACATCTCATGGTCTCCATCTCCAGCGCGCGCCGTCACTCGACCTGGTGGCCTACTCCGACGCGGACTGGGCCGGCTGCCCTGACACACGCCGCTCGACGTCCGGCTACGCCGTGTACCTCGGCGACTCCCTCGTCTCCTGGTCCTCAAAATGCCAGGCCACCGTGTCCCGCTCGAGCGCGGAGGCGGAGTACCGCGCTGTCGCCAACGCTGTTGCAGAATGCTGCTGGCTTCGACAACTCCTGGCAGAGCTCTCCATTCCCATGCCCAAAGCGAGCGTGGTGTTCTGCGACAACATCTCCTCGGTGTACATGTCCGCCAACCCAGTTCACCATCGGAGGACGAAGCACATAGAGCTGGATATCCACTTCGTCCGCGAGCAAGTGGCGCTCGGCAAGCTCCGCGTGCTCCATGTGCCAACCCAGCAGCAGTTCGCGGACGTGCTCACCAAGGGGCTTCCAACTACGGCGTTCCAAGATTTTCGTTCCAGTTTATGCATCCGTCCGCCGGATGCTTCAACTGCGGCGGGGTGTCAGTTGTATAGATAGCGCCCCCGCTCGCCCACGTCCTGCATGCCCTTGCATGCCCCTGTACACGATCACCACGATCGACCTCGCGCCCTCGCTATCGCTCGGCGCTCTCTCTATACCTCCCCTATATAAACAGAGATCACACACAGCACCACTAGATGTGGATTTGCTCATTCTTTCTCCCGCATACATGGAGGATACCGTGTGCTGGACACCTTGCGGTACCCAACCATCCAAGACAGTGCAGGCTTCGATGAGGTTAGCATCGACGACTCATCTTGCAGCAACTTGTATTTAGACATTCCCCTCAAGCGTTCTCGAACAACTGAGAAGAATGACAAGACCACGCGCCTTGAGTCTCATGGTTCCTTGGAAAGCTTAGAAGTCGTAGTTGCTAACATGACATAATTTGTTATGCTTCTAGGTGGATGTGAACGCATGTCTCGTAGACCATACGATGTGTATCTTTACACTGAAAATTTCATGTTCGGCCGACACGGTGAGAAGCAAAAACTCTTGAGCTTCTTGTTGCAGCACAACAACCCTCCTGGTGATCATGCACCAGCCGTTCTTCCAATCATAGGAGGTGCTGCAATTGGAAAGAAGACATTGGTTGCTCATGTGTGCAGCGACGAAAGGGTTCGCTCGCGCTTCTCCTCTATTTTGCACTTGAATGGAGACAGCCTTTTGAAGATACTTGACCATGGCAGGACCATGGAAGGGATGATCTTGGTAGTTATTGAGTTTGCTTCTAATGTGGGTGACGATGATTGGAAAAAGTTACACTCACTTCTCATAACAATGGGCAGAGGAATCAAGATCATCATTGTAAGTAAACTTAAACGATTAGCCCGGTTTGGATGGTGAAACCGATTTTCCTAAGTATTCTATCTTACGATGAGTTGAGGTATCTTTTCAAGACACTTGCATTTGGAAGCGTAGACCCGGCGGAACACCCGTGACTAGTACAAATAGCAGATCAATTTGCCAAGGTATTGCACAATGCGCAAGCTTCACTTGTCACAATAAATAAGGTCGCAGATGTATTGAGAAGGAACCTCGATGCTCAGTTTTGGCGTTGCATATTGGACAAGGGGATAAAAATGGCTAAAAGAAACCTCTCCATACATGGTGTGCACCCGAGAATTCTTATAGAACAAGGTCATCTAGTGGACATTAGTCACATGACAGACCTTGCTTCACATCCACTTAGCATGACACCTTATACAATTAATGCTTCAATCGAGAAACAACCAAGTGTGACATTTGGGGAACTTCTAACAGATCCTAGTGTTAGACCAAAAGGAGACTTCATTCTAATTTCATGGGAATCAAGGATACCCCCTTATAAATCATTTGTTCATTTCGTTACAAATCATGCTAAGGATACACATGAAGCTAGTGCCGTGCCAGGGAGGAAGCGACGAGGAGTGCCAGTCTAATTTTGTTTCAGACTCGTGTAATGTAATTCCTGTTGAATTTTATATTTTTATTTATTTAGAACAAACAGATGTTTTCAGGTATACCACTGAAGTAAATGTACTCATGATTACAGTTAATGTGCCATAAATTTGTACTCTCTCCACGGCCCTTATTTTGGATCGGACGGGGTACATTTTATCAATCCAACAATCCACCACCTGTAGATAACGTACAAATCCACGACTCCTTACTATCACTAGCTAGTGAAGTCTTGAGTAAGCTGGCTGCCAGAAATTGTATTGTGCTGCTGCGTGCAGGTGGATGCCAGAAAAACTTAGATCATATGAGATTGCAGTTGCAACTATAAGATAAAACTGGATTAAGAAGTCTGGTAGGCTCC